GGTGGGCTCCCTTGGCTGGTGTTGGCGCCGGCGTTCTCCGAAGTGTGTGCAGGTAAGAGGCCTCCATGTGGTCCAGGGCAGGGTGGAGGTTTCCCTGCGGCCTGTACTGGGCAGTGGGCCCCTCGGTCCTGCACCCCCAGTGGCTCAGGGACACAGTGGGGCTCCCAGGCTACATTTTCCCAGGCCCTTACTTGTCCTCTGGACACCCAGGAAAGCAGCAGGAGGGGTGGTCTCCCTGCTCCTCCCAAGACCTGTTCTCTGAGCCCAGGGGGAAGTGGGTTCAACCCTGCTGGGCTCAGAACCCGGCCTGGGCTCTGTGTGTGCATGCATGTGTGTGCCTGTGTGTGTGTGCTTGTGTGCACGTGTGTGCAGGGGCATGCACACCTGCAGATGCAGCGCTGTGTGGCTGGAGTGTGCCTGTGTCATCCCTGAGTGTCTGCATGGCACCAGGGTCTTGCCCGGCCCTCACTCTGCCTCTCTCCCCAGACGAGAGGGGCCAGCTGGAGCCCAGCAGAGCTCACCTAGGCCAGGAGCTCAGCTCCTCCAGCGTCACAGTGAGGGGAGCATGTCCTGCACAGTCCTCTCCATCCCTCCCACCCAGAGACCCGCCCCTGTGGTCTCCGCCCCTCTCTGCTGCCTCACCTCTGTCCAAACATGGAAAATCTCAAACTTCACAGCCTTTGATTGACAGGATCTGCCCTGCCTCTGCTGCTTATCAAGGGGGGCCCTGGCTCCTCTCCTGCTGCTGAGCCCTGTGCTCCAGGGGCTCCCCACTCCCTGAGAGACCCCAGAGCAAGCCAGGGGACCTCCAGCCTTGGCTTAAGTGGACCGTGGGCACACGCCTGTCTTGACCAAGAACAGAAACAAGTTTTGTGGACCTGCTGCCAGGGCTCCAGGACCAAGATGGGGGGCTCCGGGTCTGAGGTGCCATGTGGCCCCATACCTGTACCTGCTGCAGGAGCCCTTGGGAAGGAGGTGGGAGGTGGGACAGGTGCCTGCTGGCCAGCGCTGATCCCCTGGGGAGGACGGTTGTGCCTGGGGGCATCCTGGCTCAAGTCTATCACACCTACTGCTTTTTAAAACCTCCCACATGCTGATCCTTAAACAAGTATGATAAACTGGGAAGCACCCACCCACTGGGAAGTTGGGTGTGTCTTGAAGCCACACAGACGTGCCAGGAGTGGTTGGGCTGCGAAGGCTGTCATCGCCAGGCCTGCTCTCCCCAGGAGGACCCTGCCTGGGCCTGGCGCCCAGAGCCAGCAGCCACAGTCCCAGTGAAGACTGGAATTGCAACTGCTCCTTGGCCAGCCCAGCAGCTACATCTACAAAAGGGTATTTGCTGGCTTTCTGTTCTTATAACGGTGACATTTCTATAGGACGGGGCCAGCAGATGCGTTGGCTTCCCAGTTTGGGCCAAATTGTGATTAAATTCATTTTCCCTTTTTACATCGTTCTCTCTTCTTTCATTTTCTTCTCCAGTGCTGAGGGTTGAACCCAGGGCCTTGCACATGCTAAGCACACGCTGGGGGGCGGGGGCTCTCATTTCCACCTGCACAGGAAGCAGCACCAGGACTCTGGTGGGCCAGTGCCCCCTGCTGGTGTGTTGGCTGCACGGCGCCCAGGTCTTCAGGGGTGCACCCCATGTGAAGGGACTTGGGAGGACTGACCCCTCTCTGCAGTCTCCAAGCCCAGGTGTTTTGTCCTCTTCTACGCTCAACACAAGTCTCCACTGCTCTGCCTCTCCTGGTAAACAGAAAACGAATTTTTAGGGAATGCTCAGACTCAAAGTCTGTTCCACCCCTGGCACATCCTCTGCAGGGCACACGCAGGCTCCTCTCTTCCTTGGCTGTGGGCCTTGAAGTCATTCAGGGCTCTTCTAGGACGACTTAGGGGTTCTCGAGCTCTTTTTCTGCTTGGAAACTGGACCCTGTCTTTGGGGCTAAACTCTGAACTTATTTAGGTTTCTGCCCTTGGACTAGTCATCATGGGGAATGTCCTCTTGGGCCCAAAGGAACAATCCGTTTGCTCACCAGCATCCTGTTCCAGACTCGTCCACCCGGCCAGCCCCAGAGCCTGGGAACCTGCAAGCTCCAGATCCGGCCCTGTAGGGCCTGCACCTGTGGGGACCCCAGTCTCCCCAGTCTACACAGTCTCCCCAGCCTCTGGGACAACAGTCCCCTGTGTCTCTCCAGCACTCTCAAGGATTCGGAAATAACTATACCCAGGGAGAAAAGGGGAACAGGCCCCAGGGAACTTCCCTTATCTACAATTCCCCTACCTGCCCCTCTGCCCCACCAGCTGCCAACAGCCTTCCTCCTGTGACCAGGCCCTGCCAAACCCTAGGAGACTCAGACCCTTGTAGCCCTTCCCATCTTCCCCTTGAAAACGTGACCCTCCGCTGCGTGATAAAGCTTCCCTGATCCGTTCAATTCTGCCTCCCCTCTCCTTCTTTTTTTATTCTCCTTAATTTCTTTCATTTGAGCTGGGCGTGGTGGCACACGCCTGTAGTCCCAGTGATGTGGGAGGCTGAGGCAGGAGGATAATGAGCTCAAAGCCAGCCTCAGCAAAAGTGAGGGGCTAAGCAACTCAGTGAGACCCTGTCTGTAAGAGTAAAAGAAATTGAAGTTAAAGTGTAAATGACTGGGCATTGTAAAGTTTCCAAGCTGCAGGGCCTGAGTTAAACAGTGAAGGACCAGGTATTGTTAAATTGCACTGTTAGGACAATACCCGAACTGCCCAGTAAATATTCCTCCTGATCCTCTGGCTGTTTAATAACTAAGGGCTCTGAGTAGCCCGGCACGTAGGCATCCAGGCCCCAAAACCAATCAGTTTGAATGTGTACCCCACATAG